ACACCCTAAACACCCTAAACACCCTAAACACCCTAAACACCCTAAACACCCTAAACACCCTAAACACCCTAAACACCCTAAACACCCTAAACCCTAAACCCTAAGGCAAGGCCAGCCTGGAAGCACTTGCCCACAAGCACCCCAAGGAGTGATGGCGGTTGAGGGCTTTGGGGAGTTTAGGGTTTAGGGTTTAGGGTTTAGGGTTTAGGGTTTAGGGCTTAGGGCTTAGGGCTTCAGGCCTAGGTTTAGGGGTGTTGGGAAGCAGGGAAGTGGTCGCCTCATATCCCCTCCCTAAATAGGCCATTGATCGGGGCCCTCTTCTGGGACAAGTTGCACATAGAGACGCAAACAACTCCTTTAATTCAGAAATACCCCCTGGTTCTTAGTAGGGAGTGAGGGAATGAGGGCCCCATATAACCCCTTAAAGGGTATCTATAGGGCCCTCATTCCCTCATTCCCTACTAACTTAGCTGCTGAGTTCATAAGCCCCCCAAAAGTGTACACTTTCAGTTCTCTAGAGGATTATAGTATCCCAAAAAGTGTAAAGTGTGCTCACTCTGCTACTGAGCTAAGAGCCAGCCAGAAGATTCCATAAACTATCTCCGGACATTTTGCATCCGCCAAGTGGCGCTTTTGGCCGGCTGCGGTGGCGACTGGGAAGAGCCGAGCAGCACCTGTGAGTTCCAACAAACAGGAGATCCCATGGCGTTCATACCCCCGAAATGGAGTAGAATCCCCCCCCCCCACCCTAAACCCTAAACCCTGAACCCTAAACCCTAAACCCTAAACGGAAGCCCCCCCGCCCCCCAAAGTCGGAGACCATTACCGTTCGAGCACCGGGCCGGCTACGTTAAAGCACGCCGCACAGTAAACCCTCAACCCTAAACCTAAACCCTAAACCCTAAACCCCAAAACCTCTAAAGCCCAGCGCACCGCAGCAAGCGCGTCGGAGGGCGACTGCAGCACTGCGGCCTCTCGCGATCCCGACTTCGGGCTACACCTTAAGGACCTCATGAATAGGGTTTAGGGTTTAGGGTTTGGGGTTTAGGGCTTAGGGTTTGGGGACCATATGAACCCTGTAGGGTTTATGGTTCAACGCCCCTGATAGGGTTGATGGTAATTAATGGTGTGGGGTATATGGTCTCACTTTAAGGGTTCATTTGTTCCGCAAGGCAGCCGCAAAGAGTACTGCTTTGTAGCTAGATAGATGGACAGATCGAACTAATTGCATAGTTCTACAGCTAGTTCTGCAAATGGGAGTTTACGAACATAGGGGACCCCCCCAATATAGTCCCCCAAATAGTAGGTTTCCCGTATAATAAGCATTTCAATAAGGTACCCCTAATTCTGGACACCCCCCAATTAGTTCTGCCTTCTCGTACCTTGACACAGGCCTGCCTTGCAGCTGTACACAAACCCTACGAGGCAAACAATACGAGCACGAGTCCCGGTTGAGGGTTCGTGAGGCACACGAAGCGTAACCATCATATAATAAGGGCTAATAAGGGCACCTTGTTTTAGGTTGTTTCTCTCTCTCTCTGCCGTGCCATCCTCTAGGGTCTTGCTACGCAAGGGCACGAATTTTAGGTTGTTTGCTTTATAAATTTTAATAAAGGAACTTGAACAAAAAGAGGGGAAAAGGGTACCACTGGGCTACCAGGAGCTAGGTTCCACGAAACCTCCTTGGCTGCGGGGAATGGAGTTCGGTGTTCCTGCTCTGCGTGCCGGCTACCACAATAGATACTTGCAACTCCACGACATCATGAAGTAAGCGAACCCTAAACCCTAATCCCTAAACCCTAAACCCTACAGTACAATAGGGTGGGGGGGAGGGGGGGGGGGCATCCTAAGATGCTGGCCTGTCGCAGCACAGAGCCCACGTTGGAAGCATACTGTGGGCCGTCAATGAGCACACCTCAGCGTCTCTGCGGATGCGCCCGCACCAGGGGGGGCTGTTGGGTCTTGAAATCCCACCTATAAGGGACCCTTTTAGGGGATGATAGGGTAGAATTGCAGATAAACAGGGGGGGCTTTTGGGTCTTTAGAATCCCCAGAATGCATCCCAATTACAAGGGCCCTCTTAGGGATGATAGGGTAGAATCGCAGATAATCGCCCCATAACGGCAACTTGGTAGCCCAGAAACGAAAATTGTATGCTTCGCTGTTCATTTCAGAGTACACAACTCCCTAAACCCTGAACCCTAAACCCTAAACCCTAAACTCACCCGGGCCATCCTGTCCAGCAGTCCCCAAGCGCTCCCGGAATGTCTGCAAGAAGAAGCACAAAAAGAGAGACCAAACAGCCGATCCCATGGCATCACAACAAAGCCCTCACGCTGTGCTAGCCCTAAACCCTAAACCCTAAACCCTAAACGCTAAACCCTAAGCCCTAAACCCTAACCCTAAACCCTAAACCCTAAACCCTAAACCCTAAGCCATGTTCAGGACACCTTTTAGGGGCAACTCTTGGGCCAGCTGCTGGGACATAACTGGCCAAAACCTGATTTTTTTGTTTTTTGTTTGGGGGGGGGGGGGGGGTCTATCGTATTTACCCAGAAATTCGGGTTTAGTAGAGTTTCGGGTTAGGTTTAGGGAGTGCCACAGGGTAGTTACATAGTCCTATAAAATGGGCCCTGAAATGGGAACCCCTTATATACCCCGTATATACCTTACGATACCCAAGGGCCCATACTTGGAACTACCCTTCGGGAGACGCGACATCCGACACCAAGCTTGCTGCGCTAGCTCTCTCAACCGTCGACCCTTCACCCACTGGTCCTTAGTAGAGAATGAGGGAATTAGGGCCCTGTATATATATATATATATATGTGTATACATCTATACATACATACATACATACATATATTTATATACATACATGCATTATAATATACTATACTATTTTAAATCATATTATATATATATAGAGAGAGAGAGAGACCCTTTAAGGGATTATATAGGGTACCTCATTCCCTCGTTCATGCAAGCCACAGGTCTGAGTGCCCCCCTTTGGAGCACGCTGGATCTGCGCCAAAAGCTCCTGCAGCTTTATAGTGGCATCCGGACTTTGTAGAAGAGCCAGGGTTTAGGGTTTAGGGGGTTGGGGGTTTAGGGTTTAGGGTTTAGGGTTTAGGGTTTAGGCTACAAGATGGTTCCGATTTCAGAAAGTCTGTCTTCCGCATGTGGGGTGGGTTGTCTGATGTTCATGCCCTCGTGGGGTATGTCCCAAAAAAGCTTTGTAAACCAAGCCCTACATCCTCTACCTTCACTCTGCTTTTGATATTGCTATATAAGAGGTATCCTCACGAACCTACCAAACAACACAAGCCCTTCTAAAACCAGCTAAAACCCAGGTTCTAAAGATAAAACGTAAGCCTTTTTCCCTACACCCTAAACCCTAAACCCTAAACCCTAAACCCTAAACCCTAAACCCTAAACCCTAAACCCTAAACCAAACCCGAGTTCTAGGCCGAAACCTCCAAGGACCAGCGGTGCTCCCGGCGCAGTTGCGCGAGACGGCTTTCTGAGGCCTTGGCAGCGATGACATGAGGGAAATATGGAGGTTTAGGGTTTAGGGTTTAGGGTTTAGGGTTTAGGGTTTAGGGTTTAGGGTTTAGGGTTTAGGGTTTAGGGTTTAGGGTTTAGGGTTTAGGGTTTGGGGCTTAGGGCTTAGGGCTTAGGGTTTAGGGTTTAGGGTTTAGGGTTTGGGGTTTGGGGTTTAGGGATTTGGGTCTGGGGGTTCTAGGGTCTGAGTGAACCAGATGGGTTTAGGGTTTCGGGTTGGGGTTTAGGGTTGTCTAGGGGTTAGGGTTAAGGGGTTAGGATTTCAGGTTTGGGGTTGTTTCCTTCCGCACAGCTGGGGCGAATCCACGTCGCAGGGTTGACGGGTTAGGGTTTTAGGGAGGTGTATTTAGTTCCAAAGTACCCGCTATGTCCCTACATGTACGTATATGCATATAAACATATATGTGTATATATATATATGATCTACACACACACACTTGCAACCGAGGTAACGAATGAAATGGGAAATAACAGCTTACATGCATAGATGCATATCATGCATGCGCATACACGAAACGCTATACTGCAGGCGGCAGCCCAGTAACCATGGTACAATAAGGGCACCGGTTTGGGGGTTGGTTACTTTAACCCTAAACCCTCCCTAAACCCTAAACCCTAAACCCTAAACCCTAAACCCAATGGGCTACCAGGTGATGGACGCTTGTTGCTGGTACATGTGATGCCTGCCGAGCAGCGCCATGGGCTGATGCAAAGCCCCGAGGAAGTTGTGGCCAAGCACCTTTTGCCGGGGGTTTTCGACTCTCACACTGGCATAAGCGGGCGAGGCAAGTCCTGTCGAGATCTCCAGAGTGGGTGCATTGACCACCAGTAATGAACCAACCGGGGTCAGCATACCCACTTCCTACCACCGACAGATGTTCAATGCCAAGCCACATTACTGAAGAGCTGACCCCTGATCGATCCCAGATAAACTGAAAACGAACTGGTACGTGTCCATTGGCCGACAGAAGTTCTTTGACCCAATCGGCGTGTCCAACAGAGGGGCTCAAACCATGATAGCTAACAGTATACCTCGATCACCTTTCCACCTTGAAAACAAGCCTCCCCCATCAGACCCGACTGACTATTCCTAGGCACACTGCGACCTAGTGAAGATACGTGGAGGTTGCCGCAAGCCGTCCAAAGATCAGGTATGAACACTGTTACCAGAGTAGTACAACCCGAGCGGCCCTTCCTCCTAGAAAGCAACATGTGGCAAGGGCTATACGGGTGAGACTTCACTCTATCCTCAGCATTCGATGTCCCGGGCAGTGACTGCCGTCTGTGGCTATACGCACTCGACAACGTACATCTGTGTCTGTCATCCCCGGGCGTCAGGAGGCGCAACATGGCAAGTGGTGGCCGTGCACACGGAATTTTTTTTTTGCAGGAGGCCGCTGCATGCAAAACTGAGTTGCGGAGCTGCTACCCAAGGCCTACAAGTCCAGAGAGTCGTCTGCGTCAGCATCTTGTTCCGCCATCGTTTCAGATAGCATCTTTGCCAACTGCTTAGCTGTAACGAAGGGCTTTGCATCTTTGCTGATTTCCACTATTTTCGGTTGGCACCGCCGGATCAACGTGTGTTTGGCAATTGTCGAGGCCTCTGGTGACAGGTACCCGGAAGCAAGAAGGTTAGCTACGGGCGTGATGGCTTTTTGCAAGAGGGTCTTGAGGGATCTCTGCGAGACTCTGAAGTGTTTCAAGATTAGGGGCTCTTTGCGAACCACCCCAGTTCCAGTGTACTCTTCCTCTATGGTCAGGTGCTCCGTGCGCAAGTTAACCAAAATGTTGACCAGTAGCTTGGCATCTCGGACATTCAGGGGTTCTAGGTAGCCTACCTCCAGAGCTTCCTTCAAGGAGTGGTAAGATGTGCGGATCATTCGCGTTGAAGGATGCCAAGGACGGCAACCCGCTTCGATTCGCGCTTTGATGTCCATAGGAATGGCAACCAGCGCTGGCAGGCTCAGAAGGGCTGATTTCGTAGGACGGTGGAAGAACAAGGGCTTCCACATGTATCCCTCAGGAGACGATGATGTGAAATACGTTGACAAAAGGTCTGTGGAAGACCCGATTGCAGCCAGCGCGGAGGCAATCAGGGGGTAGATGTATGCAGATGCGTACAAGGAAGTGACATGAGTACCATCCGACTCGTCAGATAGAGCCATCTCGAGCCCGTGCTTCTCGAGCAGAGTGGAAAGAGCTTTGGCTGGGCTGTTTGCGTCTGAGCCACTGATCAGAGAGATCAGCAAAAGGTAAACCATCAAGTAGCGAGTGAAGATCTCTTGCCGGAACTGATCTTCAGTCCAATCTTTGTTGCGCTTAACTCCTGCGCGCGAAGCCAGAGATTCGTACGTCAAAGCTTTGGCTTTCTTTGGGTTGTAGCTTCCAGGCTTTTTAGACACCAAGCATGAGGTGTTGAGAGCTCCTACAGAAGACATTAGGGCGGCACAGAACAGCGTCATGACACCAAACTCCGATCCCCAATTGCACAAGCACTCGAGAATCTTGCGACCTGCCACACCTTTTCCAACAGCACCATCATAGTCTTCTGGTGAGCCTTCTTCCGCTCTCCCACTTGGCATCATGTCAGCTGGTATCGCCACCTTTTCTCCAGAAAGCGGGACCTCTCCAGAGCCTTCGAAGGAAGCATCTTTAGCCCCATCGCCAAACAGATCGTTGAGCTGCGTTCCAGTGTTGGCATTTTTCTCTTGGTTCGAAGAGGCTCTGCGCTTTGGCCGTGAAGACCTTTGACTTCCTTCTCGCTGAAAGCCAGTTCTCCTCTTTGTTCCCCGAGATAGCGGTGTCTCTGGAGGAGGATCATTCTCAGTGTCCACTCCAGCTGCTTTACCCATGGGTGCGTCTTCTTGTGGTTCTCCTTCTTTTGCTGCAGAAGCTTCATCCTCCTCTTCGGGCTCTTCCATCATAGGCATCTTTGGAGGAGCCCAGGCACCCAAAGATCCTGAGATCTCGGCGAAAGTAGAAATCGTAGCAGGCTTGGAAGAGCGGAGATTGTTCCCCTCAGTAAGTTCTTCCAGGAGTCGCTTAGCTCCATCTTTCCAGAGCTCTGCGTCTACGTCTGGAATTGGCTCGTTGGGCTCTAAACGAGAGAGGATAGATCCTAGGAACTTCCATTGAACTGCATATTTCTTTGGGAAAACCTCGGAGCGGAACAGCTTTGTGATTTCGGACTTCACGTTGTTGCTCAGATGGAAGTCAACCGGGCCTTTGGCTTCTTTTTCTTGTTTGTCCATGAGCTCCATCCACTCTTCATACCTTTCGGTAGCTTCCTCTCGGGATTCCGTCAGAAAAACAGACTTCCATTGGTCCCGGTTGAATGCGATGGTGGCAGGCACAGTTCTAGGAACTTCCGCCATGAGGATTCGTTCTCTGGCTGTGAATTCGGAACCAGAAAACGGCTTGAGCCAAAATGGCTACGGGGGCTTTAGGGTTTAGGGTTTAGGGCGTTTTCATGTTGCCGGCTTGTCTGGCATGTTTGCGATGCACATGAGTTTTACCAGGAGCCTAGGGTACGGGAGAAGGGTGGGGCCATTTGATGCAGTAAACCCTAAACCCTAAACCCTAAACCCTAAACTACAAGAAGGTCTTGCGCAGCGCAGAGGCCAGACAGTAAGACACAAAGGAGGGCTTGCGCCAGGGGCGAGTCGACATACACCGTGAGACAAGATTTTGACTCACCTTAACCATAATAGTCATTCCGTCATTCCTATTATTGAAACCCCTACTTTGTACTATGTAGGTACTCAGGACCCTTTGGGTTCAGGCAACCACCGTAAGGGTGCAGGGGGCGCATGCCCGCTGCATTTACCTCTGTAAACGAATCCAACTTACCAGCTGTTCGAACATGACCTCTGCAGTGCTGACAGTCGCCCGTTGCCTCTGAATCATCTCACGAACTGCACGGCCCCCCAAAAACTCGGGAAAAGCTTGCACGAAAACCCTAAACCCTAAACCCTAGGCCCTAAACCCTAAACCCTAAACCCTTGAATTTTAGCTCCAGGAAGATGGCAGACGAGTAACCATATCATGGCAAGGGCGCTGTTGCTTCCCCAACAGGAATCTCGAACCCCCAAACCCCAAACCCTAAACCCCAAACCCCAAACCCTAAACCCTAAAAGGGTTGAAGGGCACCCAACTTGGGCCTCCTAGCGATCAAAGCCTCCCAAGTCCTGCTCATGCTCCAGCGGTTCCGTCAGCCTTTTGGTAGCCCAGTAACCAGTTTAGGGTTTTAGGGTTTGGGGTTTAGGGTTTAGGTTTACTTAGCTGCTGAGTTCATAAGTCATAAGCCCCCCAAAAAGTGTACACTTTCAGTTCTCTAGAGGATTATAGTATCCCAAAAAGTGTAAAGTGTGCTCACTCAGCTACTAAGTTTAGAAGGGAAACCTTGAACCAAGAAAAGGGAGAGCTAGGCTGCCCAGTGACCTAGGCTTAAAAAGGGTGCCCTTTTTTGCTTAAAGGGATTTATCAGGGAACCTAACCCCACAAAAAAGGGAACAAGGGTACTACTGGGCATCCTAGAAAGGGTTTAGGGTTTAGGGTTTAGGGTTTAGGGTTTAGGGTTTAGGGTTTAGGGAGGGCACCACTGGGGCTGCCAAGGCCTGTCAGGAGTACGCTGAGGGACAGCTTCGCCACGATGGAGCCGCGGCTCGTGACCATGGCTTCGGGTTTAGGGTTTAGGGTTTAGGGTTTAGGGTTTAGGGTTTAGGGTTCAGGGTTCAGGGTTTAGGGTTTAGGGTTTAGGGTGCTAAACCCTGCGAGGTACGTTGAGGCCCCATGGGTCATGTATAGTGATGCTATAAATAAAAAAAAGTACATGCAATATTCCCTTGATTTGTTTACAAAAACACAAAAAACTCCCAAGGGGGCTATGGACAGTAGGCTTGAGCCAAAAGGGCCCTGGGCTTTGGCCATCGTGCCTGCAGCGATGTGTAACTGTGATGGTTTAAGGATTTAGGGTTTGGGGTTTAGGGTTTGGGGTCAAGAGGTTTATCGCTGACTTTTCATTCGCCTCGCCCCCAGCCGACCGGCCGTGCCATCATGGATGGTTGATTCATCACCGACCTGGATCATTCTCCACCCCCCATTGCCCACTGTAAACCTCCAAGGCACCCCTCGTTCACATGAAGTTACTAGGGGCGATAAGCCATGTGCAAGTATTTACGGGTACTGTGGAGGTTTAGGTGAGCCCGAGCCTTGATTTTAGGGTTCTTAGGCAACCTGCAAAAAGTAGATTTGGGGTTCTAATCCCTAAACCCTGAACCCTAAACCCTAAACCCTAAACTCCAAGTCCTAAACACTAAACTCTAACCCTGATCAGCTGGGATTTCCCGCCGCATCTCGGGAAAGCAGTCAGGATCCATGCTCTGGAAGACGTGGCCCAACGAAACCTGGTTTATGGTTTAGGGTTTGGGGTTTGGGGTTTAGGGTTTAGGATTCGGGTTTAGGGATTTTGCTTGGTAGCCCAGTAGCATATTCTGATAAGGGCACCTTTTTTGGGGGGTTGGTTAGTTTATAGGGGAACCTTGAACCAAAAAAACTAAACCCGAAAACCCTAAACCCTAAACCCCAAGTGGTACGGGCTTGTAAGCCAGCTGCTTAGGGTTCAGCGTTTGGTTGCTTGACCAGCATGGTGGCCATGAACAACTCTAACACCCTGAAACCCTAAGCCCTAAGCCCATACTGGGACAAAGAGGGGTTGTCAAAAAGTTCTGCTCAGACTGCATCGGTGTCGTTCTTTGACCCTCCATCTTTTGCACTGAAGACTCGAAACCAATCCTGCTCACACAGTTTTCAACACATCTCTACACAGCATGAACTGAGCCTACAGTAATGTCAAGAATGTACCAGGTGCCAGGTCCAACTCAAACCATGCAAACCCCCTGAGCCCTACAAAGCCCTTTACCCTGATTTAAGCCACAACTCTAAACCCTAAACCCTAAACCCTAAACCGTAAACCCAGCCGCTAAAGCCGGCGTGGTCTCAGTGCTGCACCCAGGCCAGTGCTTGGCAACTGGCATGACAGGCTTCTGTCTGCGAAGCAGCCTGAAGTGGAATCTTGTTTAGGGTGTAGGGTTTAGGGTTTAGGGTTTAGGGTTTAGGGTTTAGTGGACAACAAGCCAGGGGAGAAACCCTGAACCCTATACCCCAAAAGAGACACAATCCAGCATCAGAGGGTGTAGGGCTTTCTGGTTTGGATTTCGAGGTGCCCTAAACCCTAAACCCTAAACCCTAAACCCTAAACCCTAAACCCTAAACCCTAAACCCTACACCCTAAACCCTAAACCCTAAACCCTACACCCTAAACCCTGACTGTCCACATCTTATATCGACTCAGAGGATGCGACTTCTCAAGTGAAGTAGCAGAAGGTATGCCCTAAGGGTCCATGTACCTAAATAGGGAGTACTTGGGCCTTAAAGTACCTCCTATATAGGGACTTTGGGGCCTAAGTATTCCCTATTTAGGTACATAGACCCTTAGGGATAGGGATAGCACGGTTCAAAGGTTGCAAGGACGGAAGAATTCAGAGGTTGGGCCCCTCTAGACCCCCCCAATTGTCACTCGTTTGCGGTGCATCACTGCAAAAACTTAAAATCAGTGCATGACGAAGAAAGGAAGCACAATTGAGGGGGGTCTACGTAGGCAAATCCCAAGTATGGTGCTCGATCATGAAACACCGTCCAGTTTCCTGGCACAGTCCCTTACGAAGTCTCTTAGTGCCCATTAAAAAAGGATAAGCATGGTGTAGAGAGCTGGTTTTTGTAGAGATAGGACCGCTCAACGAAACCCATCTACTCAACAAACATACTCCCCTAAGGTAACCCCAAGAGCTTCCCTTAATGTACTCCTACTATGGCCCTTATACTCCCTTAGAGGATCTTAAAACAGGGTCCCCCAAACGCAAGGGGTACAACCTTAGGGTCCAAGCCCTATAACCCTTCCACATGAAACCCAGCCCCCGAAGGCCCTAAACCCCAGAGCAACATGAGCAACAACATGCAACCCTATAAACCCTAAACCCTAAGCCCTAAACCCTAACCCCTAAACCCTAAATCCCAAATCCTAAACCCTAAACCCTAAGCCCTGCATTGAACGCGCCTGGAGCCGGCTCCAGTTCTTGCTTGGCGGTGATGAGGATTGCGGCGCACCAAACATGCCTCCCAGGTCCATAGTTGGGGGGAATGGGGAGGTTAGGGTTTAGGGTTTAGGGTTTAGGGTTTAGGCCTTAGAGTTTAGGGTTCGGGGTTTAGGGATTTTGCTTGGTAGCCCAGTAACCACATTATAATAAGGGTACCCTTTTTGGATTATAAAGGAACCTTGAACCAAAAAAGGGAAAAGGGTACCGCTGGGCTACCAGGCTTTGCCTCCCGCCGAGCTGAACTGACGTTCGACGACCACTTTCCAGGCTACATGGCATTTGGGGGTTAGGGTTTAGGGTTTAGGGTTTGGGGTTTAGGGTTTAGGGTTTAGGGTTTAGGGTTGAGGGTTTGGCATGTTCAGGCGGTTTGGTCTTGAGGATTTGGGGTTCTAGGGGCTTGTTTTTTGTTGCCAACTGCCCAGCCCCTAGCCCAAGCCAGGTTTTCTGGTTCTGTCCAGGGTAGGCGTAGTTTCCCCACGAATAGGGCTTAGGGCTTAGGGCTTAGGGCTTAGGGCTTAGGGTTTAGGGTTTTGGCTTAGGGGAGCCTTGGGGTGGGATGACGGCCGGGGGGGGGGGGGGGGAAACAAGCTAAGCCCCCCCCAACCTAAGGCTGAGGGGAAAGGACTCTAGTACCAGTATGGAAAACAAGGATTAAATCTTGCGTGCGCAGCACCGGAGCTAAGTTCAGGGTTGACAGGCTTGTCAGCATGACTTTTAGAGCTGGGAGTCTTGGTAAACGTATCTTGACCGCCATTTCCGATGACCCTCAAGAACGCTCAGTGTCCTGAACGGATTTTAAACCTCTGGATGCCACTAGTGCAGCGAGCCCGCTGCAGCCTAAGCAGCTCACGCAAAATTCTTGGGTTTAGGGTTTAGGGTTTAGGGTTTAGGGTATAGGGTTCTTAAAGGAGGGGGGTTCAAGGGGGGTATGGAACCCAAGGTTCCGTATCACTCCCTCCATAAGCCTCCCTAAGGTTCCCTAAGGTTCCCTAGGTACCTACCCCGCTTGAACCCCTTCCCTGAAGAACCCTATCATGGGTTTAGGGTTTAGGGTTTAGGGTTTAGGGTTTAGGGTTTAGGGAGCTGAATTCCACATACTTTTGGGCCCGATAAGCGGTTACGCTTCGGGCCTGACAGGGATGCCGGGAAACAACGGCTTAGGGTTTAAGGTTTAGGGTTTAGGGTATGCTGACACGAGTTTTTGGGGACACAGGACGACC